TGCTAAGACCGCGAATCGTTCGACGTGGTCTGTCTTTTCGACGTCGTCGGGAGACAAGCGGGCGCTTTCGGTGCAGCTACGGTGGCAAGCGAGGCTGGCAGTATGGCAACTGGCGCAACTCTCCACACACGACGGGCCTTGCTTCTCGATAGCGAGGTTTCGGGTCGCGTGGTTCCTGGGCTGATGGCGGTCCGGGTTTACTGCAGAGCGGGTAGCGGCAGCAGCAAGTTCGCGATTCCAATGGGGCAACTTCAGGCAAAGTGGATGCTGAAGCTGTCACTGTAGAAGAAGCTGGAGGAGGGAGGGCTGGTGATGGATGTAGGATAAAGTGAAGAGGCAAGAAGAGGGAGAAAGTGAGGATGGGAAGAAGAGGGAGACGTAGTAATTAAGAAGATCGACTCCTTTGGTGGCCGGGCTGCGAATTGGACGGGGGACGGGATTGCTTTTAATGGGCGAATGGGGACTTGTCCTGGACGCCGCCAACTGAGCTGGAAGGTGGACTCCAGCTCGAGCCGGAGACACTGCGCTCGGTACGGTGCACCGGTTGAGCTGCTTGCTCCATTGGAGACAGGCCAGACGGCCCAACACCAGGCCACCTTACCCAGCCTAGGAATGGCCCTGGAAGACAAAGACCGAGATCGCTTACTTGTCTACGGACCCTCTCTCCATCAGAACGGATACCCATCTCCATTCATTATTCCATGGCAACGCCTTCTTCATTCACTGCCTAAGGTGACGGAGAAGGTGACTTTACACAAAAGACGCCTCACTCACCGTCACTCGACTTGGTCTTTCTCTAGCCACCTTACTTACGGTGCCAGGAATCTCTTTCCAGCTCCCAATTTTGGAGTGAAATCACGCAGAGGCCCAGCCTGGTAGGGAGCCCCATTCTCGGTACGGGACCACGGTACAGTACAGCCCGATGATGCTAGAGTCGATGGAGAAAAGGGACAAGGCACGCGGAAAGGGGACCTCCATCAGCCCTCCCGCGGCCGCCCATTGGCGAATGGCTTGCCACGGCTCCGCAATCCCATTCGCATCTCGCTGGTAGGTATTACGGCGGCGGCGCGTTACCGCTTGGCCGGGGGTCATGCATCCAGACGTTTTTCCTTTGCCCCGAACCACCTGCGAACCCTCCATTTCCCTGCAACCCCTCGCATCCAAACCAGCCTACCACGACCGATGCAGATACGCAACAGCACTACGCTGCAGTAGCGTCTGAAAGCTGCTTGTCCTGTGAGACGTATCTACTTACCTGCCGTCCGCGCCTGGGTGCTCCTGGGCCGGCCGGTTGGTCCTAACCTGGGGGCGGGGCATTTCAGAAACGGTCATCCATACATGAGTGATAATAACTGGACCTCCGCGAACCCGTGTTGAGCGGCGCCAGAGAGCCTTCTCGTTGGGCCCAAAGTGCTTGGCTAGTCCAGGCAAGTCAACCCTCGTCTGAAAGCAATGATTCCTGTAGTGACCTTGGCTGGTGCTGTCCCGTCGACCGGCCGAGAAAAACACAGTCGACCGGCGCCCCTTCTCGTAATCGATCGTTGCCTGTTCTTGGGGTGACGGTGACGAAGACCAAGAGCACACCCATCGGTTTTTTTATGGAGGTGTAGAAGCGGCGGTACATGCGTTCTCACACCATTGGCGTCCGGGCGCCTGTCCTTAAACGGGGGTATCGCATGTCAATCACCTTGCTGCGAGGCATGGCCGATGGGCGACTGGTGCTGGCCTGCTGTATCTAGCCCAAGGGGACCGCCCAAATTTCACATTTTAATATATCTCCTTGTCGCCCTATGAGCATTTTGCCAGCAAACGGCCGATCATGGGCAAAGGGGGAGCAGCATTCGAGGTGGAGCTTAATGGTTCGTGACGACGTTCCACTCATGTGGTTTGCTCCTTGCTCGTTCATTCTTTTCTCTCGGTGTGGCCTGGCATGTCTCTCGTGTAAGAACCAAAATCACCGAGAAGACGCCAGTGACACATCATCTTCAAAAGGATAAGTGGCGCCTGTCACCAGATGTGTGCCTCCGGGACCATGTTGTGCTGCTCTAGACTGAAGACGACCAAGAGGTCGAATTTGTCACCGTGGAACCGCTGAGCTTCGTCTACGTTGCGAATTGAAGCACAGTGCTGTCGGTGGGTGTCGTCAAGCTCAGTTTGCCCCCCATACGCCCAGAGAGTTCCCCGCACTCTCCCCCAGCAGCATCGAGTTGGTGCGCCTCCAAAAGTTTCTGGGCTGACCGAATGGCGCCGCTCTTGAAGCCGGCGTGCGGCTGCTGGCCAGTGAGTTTCGCGCCAGCGCAGGCGGATGCTTGCTGATCGCGACGCGCTACCAACGACTGCCGTCCGCGACAGCCCCCGTGATTGGATTGACTCCAACAATGACATCGATATGATTGCGGGCTCCGTCTTGGCTTCCCACATCTCTGGTGATGTCGATATCTCTCGCCTGCAATGCCAGTTGCTCAGCCGACCCAACGTCCAATTCTACCCGTTGACAGTTCCGACTTTGCGAGCAGCCGCCGAGAAGAAGAAACGACGCGCAGAAAGTCGGCCAGAATCCCCGCTGAAAATCATGGCTGCTTCGGGGTCTGGTGTTGGGTCGGGATTCAACAAGTCTCGCAGATTCTGGGGTCGACACCCACATCTGCAATCGCAATTTGCAAACGCGTTACTCCCTGCAGATTGTGGGTTCGAGCCTTGCGCTTGTCGATGGTGCGGAAGAGAAAAGTGTCCCCGAACCCACTGTGATGACTGAGTGCTGATATGCGATGTGCGTCTGCGGTATCCAACCAGTTTTGCGGCCAGCAGTGCCTCCGAGGTCGGCCATGGTCCACCGAATAACCTATATAGAGTCGCAGCACAGTAGTCGTACCCACTTGGCGATAGCGAGTCTGTAGATGTATCGAATTAGGCAAGGCCGCTATCATGGCCGCCGACATTCAAGATGAGACGTCTGCTTGGTCGTCCACAGGGTGTTGTCGTGGGATTGTGGTGTCTGAAGGTGGTGTGTAACCACAAGACACTGGAGGGGCCATCCCGACCTTGGCCATGCGCAATGCGGAGAAAGACTCTCGGGAGCAGTGCGCCTCCATGTATGCGGTGTGGTTGGAGGGGTCGAACGGAAGTTCCGCCCGCCCCTCGTCCAGAAGGAAGGCGGTGGTTGTTTCTCAGCGGATTCATCTCACCTCGGGTAATGATGCAGCCCGAAGCAGGTGGCTACCTATCGTCTTGTTCCTTCCCGCCATGTACCTTGAGAGGCTTGCAGCGACAGGAAGCCACTCCCTTCAGACGAAGATGCGCCGTCTCACGCCCGTCATTTTCTTACTTGAAGACGTGGTCGAACAAGATGGACCAACGCATTCCATAATTTGTGCCAATACGTAGCGCCGGGTCCTCGCAGCCGATTCGATAGGAAGCCCGCGGCTAACCAGCAGCTCCTCTCTTCCTCCACGCTGCCCGCTTCCAACAACCAAACCTTCCATCTTTGCTCCTGTACCGCTGTACTTACCGCAGTACCCCGTGCCCCCCGGACTTCCCGCATTTTCCCCCAGACTCCCGCCCACGAGGGGTATTGGAGAACATGACCTGGCACACCTGGGATCCTGGGGGGCCGCTGCTGCCCGTGCCTCTGATGCGCTGCGCTGCGCTGTTTTAGGCTGCCATTCCAGAAGGCCGGGTCCCTTGCCCTCCACCTCCTTGTCCCTGTGTCAGTCTTGACTGCTCCCTTAGCCTCCCCTGCCATCCGGGTCAGTCCACATGCCGCCATCTCATAGGATGGACGAATGGAAGTTGGACTTGGCACAACCGACGACACATCCGCGGGTTGGTTGGCCATCCTCGCCCGTGGCACCGCATCTGAACTGCTTGGCCCCAGTCCTGCTGTTTTTCTGTGGGCAGCTCGGACGAAGAAACACTTTCTCCCAATACGGAGAAATCACATAGAATTCTGGGGCCCGGCTGCTTGGTGTACGGATTCCGGGGCTCTCTTGGAGAATCGGCATTTGTCTCGAATAGGTCATTTGGGAAAAACCACCGTCGATTCCGAACATCGTACGGTCCGTTGCCAGTGTCTCCGCCGACATGTGGGAATCTCAATTTGTTGGGAGGCTCTCGAGATGACAGAGTGTTGAGTATGGGAAGGCAGCCGTCTTACCCGCCGCGCCGTGGCCATGCAATCGTTTGTTAGCACTGCATCCTGCAGGGTGAGGCATACATCCACACGCATACTCGCCTGTCTCGAATAGGCAACTGCGAGACTCGAGTCGACCTGCATCGTCAAGGGTCTGGACCACCAGCATGCGATGATTGACCCTGGTCAAAACGCCTTTAACCGAACGGCTTTGCTGATCCAATTGCTCTTGATTGATTACTTCGCTTTGCGATCGTCAGATTCCCTATCAATGACCGATGCTGCGTGACTACTTTTCGCAAACTTAAGGGTAAATGAGCCTCTGTTCAAGAACCAGAGGTTTTGTCCGTTGATAAGTTCGGCAGTATCCAACTTCTGATCGTCGAAACAGACTGACCTGTTATCGACTACTAACCTGAAAGAACCAAGCGGTGTGCCGAGTAGAAAGAGTCTTCTACTATTCCGCCATCTGTCCCTGACATCATATTCAATGGCGTAGCGTGCGCAATACGCTCGAGTAGCAGAAAGCAATTGCAGGACCGTACCTCCTGATTGGACGTTTACGTTTCGCATATCGTGGGAGAAGCTCTTGGGCAATGTGGTTTGTTGCTATCAGAGATTCTCTGGCACCTATCCCAGCTCTTGGTAAGTGTCGCCAAATTGGCGGTCATAAGGTGCCATTTGACGAAACGCCAGCGGAAGAAAAAGCGCCATATCGTAGGTAGAACAAAGCTGTGAGAATAGTTTTGTTGGCAGGTATTCATCCCCGAAGCGATATAGTGTATTTTGTCTCTTTCCACCTATATTACTGCTGCTTCCAGCACATGCCACCCAATAAACCCTGAACGCCCCCATTTAGACATCTCCCTGCTTACAGATCCATGCTCATCAAGTACATTTCCATGATTCTCATGAACTTCGCCACAAAGGCCTCCAAGTGGAAGATGACCTTGGTGCCCATCCTGATTCTGTGCTCGTAGAACGCTGACCACTTGATCACCTCGGCCTTGAGGGCATCGTCAATTAGAGGGATAAGCTTAAAGGTGAGGGTCTTGAGAATAGTCGTTGGCGGTATGCAATGCGTAAGGAGGTCGTACAGCTTCGCCCGCACCTGAAGGATCCGGGCCGGGGTGTGCTCTTCGACGATTTCCCTCGCAATCTGGCTGATGAGCGCCTCCCAATCTGGAGGCGGGATCGGTGTGCTGTCCGTAACTTTCTCGCTGTGATGAGTCAGCTTTGATGCATCCCGGGATGACAAGATGACGTACTTCTGGGCATGAACTGCCTCGTACATAAGAAGAGCTCGTCTCAGATTTCTGCCACTCTCCTGTGCTATCCTCATGTGCAAGCCCTTGACCATGGGCCAGTTCTCCTTCTTTGCCGATACGGCCAGGACTTCGCAGATCTCCTCGTGACTGGGGGCAGCAACTCTGACCAGCAGCGTTCTCGATCGAATAGGGGCGATGATGTTGGCCGTCGAGTTGGCAAGGAGGATCAATCGCAGGTTCGGAGAGTACTTCTCCATCGTCCGACGCAGAGCCGCCTGCGCATCTCTTGTCAGGTGGTCCGCCTCATTGATCACCACAACCTTGAATCTCTGCTTTGCCGACTGGTCGACCTGTTGTGTCTGCGCCACCTCTTTCAGAAGGTCCTGAACCACGACTCTGTCATAGTTGCCGACGTCGGAAGGTGTGATTTCGAGATGGTAGTTGGAGGCGACAATGTTGAACTCGAGCTTGCGGTTGCTCGACGTCTGGAACACTCGTGCGTCGATCTTGATCTTCTCTACGCCTGGTCCATACAACTCCTTCAGCGTGGCGACGATGCGCGTCTTCTTGCCCGCGCCCGAAGGACCGTATACCAGAAGGTGGGGGAAATCACCGCTTTGCGCCTGCATTTGGTGAGTTGCTGCCTATGACAGCTTGAAATTGAAGACCTACCAACGAACCAAGCCTATCTGACAGTTCCTGGTGGTATGTCAGGGCATCCAGTGACCGAGGTCTGTGTTTGTCGACGATGAGCGCCATTGCGGTTGTTTGGTTATTTTGTCGCTGGTTCTGTGTTGTTGGACTTTGGCCTGTTCAGTCGTGGACTTTTTGGCGATCGACTGGGATGGAAGACGCGTTGAGAGCCAAAGTCGCGTTAAGTGGGAAATGCGTTCAAGTGTGGCTGGTGGATAAGGCCCGTGCTCCCTCCCGCAGCTGCATGTGCCACAATGATGCCCCCTCTACTGTGCGGCTCCACATCACTTATTGCACCTGGACTTAAGGCGCCTCTCCAATTCAACTTTCAACGCTTTTTGGGCCGATTCTATGCTTGTTTGGATCGAGGCATATTTCATTTCATTTTTCCGTAGCTTCAGTGCTTTGGTAGTCATTGCACGTGGAAAGCTTATAGTACAACCATTCCTATCCTGATATTGCTCCTAATTCCAGGGGATGGGTTATATGATACAGGCTTCGCTTATACTTGATCTCAAGCAGAAGGCGAGCCGGCAGAAGGAGCACTCGTAGGTTTGGTGGGCGCCTCTGCAATCAAGTCCGCTGGCGCAATCTGCTTTCTCGGCCTCTTCAACTCCTCCAACGTAACACCGTCAAGCTTCGTAATTCCAACCACGGGGGCCTCTCCCTTGTGAACGAATTCCCATTGTCCTGATCTTGAGTTAGTCCTGGTGGTCTTCATAAGGGCGATCTATACTTACCAGGCAGCTTGTTACCGGCCAGGCGGAAGGCATCCTTCGCGACAGCCTCGTGAAGCATTCCCTTGATTTCAAAAACAATCTGGTTTACTGCAACACGCGCAGCCCAGTGATCGAAAGAACCCTTACCCTTACCCATACGCATCTAGCATCACAAATCAGCATGGGTACTTGCCATACGCTCTATCACCCCTCACCTCGTTACCGGAGACGTAGACTCCAACGTTACAGCATATCCTCTTGTACAGACGGTACTTCTGACCACGCAATCTCATCTTGATGGTGTCCTCGGCGTTCTTTAATTGCTTCGCGCTGATTCTTCGGTGGTGGTCCTTCATGCGAAGGCCATAATCGCCCCAGATGACAGTCGTGCCCTTGGTCGATCCTCCGGTTGCCACACGAGGCCGTCCCTTCATCATCTTCTTCGTTCGGTCGATCGAGGGTTCGAGCCAGTTGCCTTGCTGAGCAGTTGTCGACGAGAATGGGCGGGCCTCGCGGAGGATCTGTGATGCGACCAGTGGCTTGGTCAATTGGGGTCGGATGGCAGCGCCAAAGGGGTTGATTGATGGCGCCGCAGAGATTCTGAGGCCTTGAAAGGCGCTGAGAAGCGCCGAGGGAGCGTTGGGCCTCATGTTTGCGACTTGCCGATTGATGAGGTTGACGATAGTATCTCCAAAAAAATCCCCAGCTTTGCAGCACGAGGTGTGGCTGAGGTGGCCTGAGAATTTGGGCGCTCGTTTTTTCCTGAGGCTTGAAGCTCCTGCTTCAGCCACACCCCACTCTCGTGCTTTAATGGAAAGAGCGACCGGGGGTCACGGACCTCGCGTCACTTTCGCGTAGGAAATCCATTACGAGCACGCTTCCTCGGACGCCAGGCACGAACGAAGCAATTGGCATCGGCCATTCACCAACATCCCACTTTCCTTAGGCAACAGCACCACAACGAGCCTTTTCAAACTTCGGACAAACCCCATTGCAGTCAAATCGTCACAGGCTTCTACGTTACTGCAACACCAACTCACAATGCCTGCTGACATCCGGTCCTTCTTTGGGCCAAAGGGTGGTGCACCTCCCAAGCCCGCACCGAAGAAGGTCGAGGAGCCGCCCAAGAGTCGAAGGGGCAGAAAGGTCGTGGAAGACAGCGACGATGAGGAAGCACCTGCTCCCGCACCGTAAGACATGCGAAGTCTGTTTTTTAATCGTCATTTACTAAATGTACAACAGAAAGCCTGCGGCCAAGGCCGCCGACAAAAAGAAGATCAAGTACGATAACCAAGCATCCAGTCCTGCCCACTCTGGCTAACCGATCTTTCAGGAGCGAGGCTGTGAAGGGAACAGAGACAACCGCTAGCGATTACTTCTCATCATCAAAGACCTCGAAACCAGCGCCCTCGCCGAAGACAGACCGAACAACCAAGGTGAAGACCGAGGTGGAGATCCGTACAAGCCCACGCAACAAGAAGGTCGCAGCCAGACCAACCGAAGAGCCTGCCAAAAACGGAACAACAGCTTCAAAGAAGCGTACGACCACGGCTTTCAAGAAGTACGACTCGGACGACGACGCCGATGCCTATGTTGACGAGGGTGACAATGACGATGATGGCGATATCTTCGCGGCGGATATCAAGGGACGGAACAAGCGAAAGAACGACGACTACGCGGAGGACGATAGTGACGAGGAGGTGCTACCGAAGCCCAAGCGCGTGGCCTCTCGGAGTGCTGCGGCTGCGGCTCCCACCAAGGCAGCAGCTGGCACAAAGAGGCGCAAGACCCCCGAGGAGGAATCTGAGGACTCTGAGGAAGAGCAACCTCCGCAAAAGAAGAAGGCACCCGCGAAGCCTCGTGCTCCTAGAGCCAAGAAAGCCGATGTCCCCGAGGACGCCACCTATCAGTCGATTCTGGACGACATTCCTACCGTCCGCCCTCCCACACCTCCCCCGCAAGACCCCAACGCGAAGTTTGACTGGCGTAAGTCAGCTGCTGGAGGTGGCAACAGCAGTGCTGCACCCCCGAATGCTGGAGCTGCAGAGCTTCCCGAGGGTGAAGATGAGTGCCTTTCAGGCTTGACTTTTGTCTTCACTGGAGTGCTGCAAACGATCGGCCGCGAAGAAGGACAGGCTCTGGTCAAGAAGTACGGCGGCAAAGTTACAGGATCACCAAGCAGCAAGACGAGTTACGTTGTGCTAGGCGACGACGCAGGCCCAAGCAAGTTGAGGAAGATCAAGGATCTCGGCATCAAGACGATCAATGAGGAGGGTCTGTTCGAGCTTATTCGACGTCTCCCAGCATACGGTGGCAGTGGTAAAGGCGCTGAGAAGGCACGCGAGAAGAAGAAGCAGGAAGAGGAAAACATCAAGAAGCAGGCTCTGGAAATGGAACGAGAAGAGAAAGCTAGGAAGGCCGCAGCTGAGAAGGCTGCGAAACAGGCAGCTGCAGCTCGTGGCACAACCACCGCGACAGCTCCGGCGGCTGCTCCAGTGCAGCTCTGGACTTCCAAATACGCGCCAAGTCAACTTAACCACATCTGTGGCAACAAGTCCCAGGTCGAGAAAATCCAAGCCTGGCTCAGAAATTGGCAAAAGTCAAGGAAATACGACTTCCAGAAGCGTGGTGCAGACGGCATGGGCGGCACCCGTGCCATCATCATCTCCGGCCCCCCTGGTATCGGCAAGACGACTGCTGCCCACCTGGCTGCAAAACTTGAGGGTTTCGACGTAATTGAGAGTAACGCCAGTGACACGCGCAGCAAGAAGCTTGTCGAGAATGGCGTGAGTGAAATCATGAACAACACTTCGCTCCTTGGTTACTTTGCCGGAGACGGCAAAAAGGTCGATGGGGTCAAGAAGAACATCGTGTTGATCATGGATGAGGTTGACGGAATGTCTGCCGGCGACCGAGGTGGTGTTGGAGCTCTCGCGAAGTTCTGTAAGAAGACCGAGGTGCCCCTCATTCTCATCTGCAACGAGCGCAAGCTGCCGAAGATGAAGCCCTTCGACTTCGTCACCACGGATGTCCCGTTCCGACGCCCAACGGTGGAGCAAGTTCGGTCTCGTATCATGACTATTTGCCATCGTGAAGGGTTGAAACTGCCCGTGCCGGTGGTGGACGCCCTGATTGAAGGCAGCAATAAGGATATTCGACAGATTATCAACATGATATCGACAGCCAAGCTCGACCAAGCAAACATGAACTACGATCAAGGCAAGGTGATGACGAAGGCTTGGGAGAAGCACGTCATTCTGAAGCCATGGGATATCTGCCAGAAGATGCTTGGGGGTGGATTATTCGCTCCCGCCAGCAAGACCACCCTCAACGAGAAGATTGAGCTCTATTTCAACGATCATGAGTTCAGTTATCTCATGATCCAGGAGAATTACCTCAAAAGCAAGCCGATGGCGCTCAACCACAAGGGCTACAACAAGAGAGAGGAGAATCTCAAGTACCTCGAACTCGTGGATCAGGCTGCTGAGAGCATCAGTGATGGTGACTTGGTCGATCGTATGATTCATGGACCGCAGCAACAGTGGAGTCTCATGCCTACCCACGCAATTTTCAGCACTGTCCGTCCCGCAAGCTACATCGCTGGCCAGCTTATGGGCTCCAGCTTCACTTCTTGGCTCGGCAATAACAGCAAGACCGGCAAGCTGAGCCGTTACATCCGTGAGATTCACTCTCATATGCGACTCAGATCATCAGGCGATGCCCATGAGATTCGTCAGCAGTACTTGCCCGTCCTATGGGACCAGCTCATCCGTCGCTTGTCTGTCGAGGGCAAGGACTGCGTGGAAGAGATTATCCTACTAATGGACAGCTACTACTTGACGCGAGACGACTTTGACGCCATTCAAGAATTGGGCGTTGGACCCCAGGCCGAGGGTCGTGCTGAAATCGAGTCAAAGACGAAGGCCGCATTCACTCGAACGTAAGAAATGCTCCAATAAACCCCCTGACATGACATATCAATGTTCTAACTTATCACAGATATAACGCCATGTCGCATCCCATTCCATTCATGAAGTCTAGCAACGTGATGGCTCCCAAGGCTGCTAAAGTGGCCCCGGACCTGGAGGAGGCCATCGAGGAAGAGGACGATGCCGCTGTTGCTGAACCTGCTGAGCCTGCTGAAGAGGATGAGCTTGATCTGAAGGGAGATAAATACATCAAGCAGCCCAAGCCCAAGGCTAAGAGAGCCACCAAGAAGGCCAAAGCAGAGGAGGACGAAGATGATGATGCGGATGCCAAGCCTAAGAGAGGACGTCCCAAGGCCAAGACTACAGCAGCAAAGGGCAAGGGCAAGAAATAAGGACTGGTAGTGTGAGGTTGCCGTTTTGGCCTTTGTAATTGTTATGAACAGGCGTTGCTCTCACCGAGGGGACAGATGCACTTTAGGGCGTGCGGGATTAGTGGAGGACGCGGCTCCTGAGCTCTATGTTGTTAGATATTGTATTGTTCTTGTACAAAGGGCTGTTAATACGCTATACCTACTCAACTGACCCATCCTTCTTGGGGTCTTTGAAAGGCAAAATTATGACAATTCGATTTTGCACCCTTTGACCGTACGATCTGACCAGCTGTAAGCGAGGCAGTTTCTGCTTGTGCCTGACAGAAAAATGTTCTTCGCCTCCTTCCTTAAAAACTCCCATCTCCCATGGGAGCTACCTTCCTGAAAAGCCATGGAGCTTAAATCGCTCTGAGATCCCAACTCCGTCAGGTCTATTGGATGTGGGCAAGCTTTTTAGAAATCCAGAGCGCGACTTCCCTCAGGGGTCTGGTAAGTCTCTCGAAAGGGATCACCTAATCATTGCTCACTTGTCACCTCTAGGTGAAATCTTCTGCTTTGTCGCTCACAATGCCCTCGGCCACACTGTCCACCATAACAAAGGACACAAAAATGGGCAAGCGCAAGACGTGGCCCATGAAAACTGTTGGAGGAATTGCGGAGGTTTGCAAAGGTAATTTGACATCCTATTCACCACTACCTCTTCACTCTTACTTTTCCCATGTCACTCTTTCCATTCCACTTGGACTGCTCGCTTCTACCACTCACTCAACTTTTTCTTCAATCATTACTGTCGAGATTTCTCTCCCTCCTTCCTTGCATCTTAAGGGTACTCTTTCATCCTGTCGACTGCAGCGGATATCAGGACACCAACTTCCTCATTGGGGATACTGCGTCTTCGACGCATAGCTCGACCTTCAGCTGACATTTTCCGTCGTCCCTCGTATAACAGTTCTCATCTCGAAGAGGAAACTGCCTCAAAAAGACTCCGAGAGGCTTACTCTTGAAAATCTGTCGGCACTATCCTCTGCACTTTCCAGACGAGGGGGGCCGGATCAGCACTCAATGGGCCGGCGAAGTAAGTGCTCAAATATCTCGCCTTTCCTCTACGATGGAACCCAATTGCATTTGAAAAATATCTAATGAGCTCTCATAAGCGATACCCGAGGCAGTGGTTGCCGTCCGCGCTCATAGTCCTCATCAGCTCTCGATGATCGAGGAGGCTTCCCGCGAATCGACCCCTATGATTGCGACTGGGGCCAATGCCGATGTTTCTGCCGATCACCTTCACAACTACCCTACCGAAGACATCACTTACGAGAAGTTCGACAGTTCTGACATTCTTGAAGAGTATGTGCACCAGAACACCGAATACCGCTTTGATGAGGGTGCTTCCAATGTCGGCCCCTTGGGCCTCGGGCATGGGGACCTAATACAGAACAACGCAGACACGGTTCTGTACGGTAACTGGGAACAGGACAACAACCTAGAAGATTTCGACCGCTGTTCCAGTATGTCTCAGAGCTTCGGCATGACTGTACGACGCTGACTGAAGCAGCTCCTGACACGGTGATTCATTACGACATGGACGAAATGGAAGCAGCTTGCCAAGCTCGGTCTTCGTCGCCGACTGCATCATGCCAACAGTCTACCGAAAAAGGTAAGATTGTTTGGAACATCTCTTAGTTATTCTCCCTTATTCCCATACAGACTGGCGCTTCCCCTTATAATTACCCCTGCCTTGCATTCATCCCTGCGTTGCTCACCAACACATACGGTGTTTGCATTCACCATCATCCAGAATAGATGCTGATGCCGCTTAGGTTCAAGCACTCAGAATGCTAGCTTGAAGATGGGTAGCTCATCTAGAGCGAAGGATTGGTCGATGTTCCAGAGCAATCTGGTCGACTATGGCCCGGATGACCCCAGCCCGCGACTTCCAGGCTGCTCTGCCGGCCACCCCTACAATAAGACGTGGAAACTGACGGATTCAATGATGATGGCTTACAATGCCATGCGAGGCCCTCCGTTGCTCCCGGGAAACGATCCACTGCGCAATTGGATGGCCATCAAAGCGACCGAGTCCATGAACGAGTCCACGATGGGGTCCACAACGGCCGAGTCATTTCAGACATCTCGAGAGACGGCAAGCCTGGGCACAAGGTCTGTGACGCAGACATCGCCGTCAAAGGATACAACTCAGACATCTGGACTGAGTTCTGGGGAGAAACGAGAGATGGAGGATTATGCCAAGTAAGCTCCCACGTTCAGAAGAGGACTTTCATTTAACCATCATACAGGATGCTGAAGGAGGCCAACATGGCTACAAAAGAGTATGCGCCCCCTGAGGCGGATCGCAACCCAGCCTACGAAGTGCCCCGTCCCAGATATCTTCACGTCTCGCCCAAGTTCAACAGCTTCAAGTTTGAAGACTACATGCCTCCCGAGGTTTCTATGCCTGGGTCGGCTTACAAGCAGCCATACGATACTAATCGTGACTTCGGTAAGAGTAACCTAACTTTTCTCGTGGTCACATTCTCATTTATGACAGCTGAGGAGTATGACATCTCGGATGACGAGGGTGACCCCGAATCGGGACGCGTTTCGCCGTGCACATTCCGTCTCCTATCTGAAGGCTGCTCTCGACGAGACCCTCAGGCAAACCAAGTCTTCATGGCGGAGGATGTATGTGGCCCCTTATTACCCTCCCTGAAGCATTGACTGAATCTTTCCCAGGCTCAACGCATGCGCCCCGAGACGCCTCTTGAGGATAATGACAGACATCTCGTCGTCGACCGACTTACTCTCTCCTTTGAGCTCCAGAGAGACATCAACGATGGGGGTTGGATCACACCGTGCTACTCAGTAGAATCAGAGCCCTCCATCATCTTCAGTCCTCCAGGCAACTACCACTAGACTCCCTCGGACTGGACCTTTCTAACCTTGTCAGGCGTTACCCTCAAGCACAAGATGCGCAATTGGTGGTTTGGCCTCTTTGACCGTATGGACCCGATTGCTGCGCGCCGCTTCCGCAAAGTCCAGTTCCGCGAGGCCAACGACCCCGTAACGCCCCTCGAGACGATCTCAGCACGCTCGGTCGTCTCCTCCAACACCTCCAGCGATGACGTTATCGGCAACTACAGGAAGTCCTACACCGACGCTGAGGTCCTCGAAGCGCTGCACTCACCCGCCAGTCGCCGGGTTGCCGGCGTCGCACCCCAGAACGCCCAGCTCATCATCTCGCAGCGCTGGCAGACGGTCACCCGATGGAAGAACCAAGATGCAGAGATGACGCGTGAGAACGACAACATGCGCGGCGCCATTGAGCGAGCCAAGATGGAGCTGCGAGAGATCCGGCTGGCGGTTGACCATATTGTGCAGAAGAAGGCCGCGGAGGACATGGCGATGCGGCAGCGCAATCACAGGCGGATCCTTCGCCAGGTTTCGGCACACCTGCACGAGCTGCGATACGAGATCCAGAGCAAGTTCGACGCTCTCAAGCATGCGCAGACCCAGAACCAGAGCATGAAGGCTGAGCTGGCGCTGCTCGAATGGCAGATCAAGAATGAGTGCGCGAGGGCTGAAATGGCGAGCCCCGATGAGGTCCGCAAGGCGGTCTCGGAGCACTTTCGGGATAAGATGCTTGCTCTTGAGCTTGCAGACTGCTTCTGAGAGTGAAATTCACCGTCGCATCATTGATGCTTGGCCAAGGTTCCGCTTCACTCGACCTTGTTGAGAGCGCAGACTTCCATGGCCATAGGAAACCGGGGTTCTCTCTGTTTCCTCGTCTTTCGGCCGACGAGATGTTTGGCGAAAGTCGAGAAACCAATCACTACCGGATGCATTCCCGAGGGTGAGCCGAGTATTAGGTATTGCCAAGCTGGGAATTATCAATCAGTGGGACCGTTGACTAACACGGCGCGGCAGGCTGAAAGCGGGATTGGCAATTATTGACGTGCCCTTCCCTCCCGCTCTTTTTCTTGTTTGTTTTGCGCAATGTTTCGGCATAGGATATGCCCTAGTTTGAGTACGATACCCCAAGAGAGGTGAAGATTTCGACGTCGGAATTGCCAACTTTCCACCGAGGAATGTGTAGATAATCAAAAATTGAGAGTATATCACGGAAATGAATAGCCATTGAAGGTTGAATGATGTAGTGACAGGGAGATCAATGTCTCCAAGGCGGTAATTATATTGTACCAGAGCTTTTGAGAAGAATCGTGAGACCCCGGAATCCCTATCCGAGGCCCATGTACACAACATATCCAGATTCTATCCTTTTTCTTTTCTTCCAGTGAGGGCCAACCCATTTTGGCCCCCAATCCGCCATGCAATAGTAACGTCATGAGAGGAGCATTATACACCGACCGGAACGCCCAGTTCGCTGTTCCGGGAATCGACACAGTATCGTAGAACATAATGGTACAAAGGGGGCTGCGGCCGCCGAAGCCTCCCAGCGGCAGGCCAGCCCCATGAAATCTTTTGGTTGGAAAGACCCCCGCACATCAGCAGGGGCCGAGTGCTGGAGATCGCGGACGAGTCAGACGGTTTAAGCGTTCTTGACAACGCCGACCTTGGCGGCGCGCAGCACACGACCGTTGAGCTTGAATCCCTTCTGCTGGACGTGGAAGACGGTGTTGTCCTCCTTGTCGGGCTGGGGTGCCATGAAGGTGGCGTCGTGCTCGTTGGGGTTGAACTTCTCGCCCTCCGGGTTGACACGCTCGATGCCGTGCTTCTTGAGGGTGGACATGAGGATGTCGTCGGTCATCTTGAGACCCTCGTACAGGTTAACGAGGTCCTGGAGGTCGCCAGACTTCTCGGTGGCGTTGATCTTCTCCTGGGGCACCATGGAGAGCGCGCGGTCCAGGTTGTCGACGCTGTCGACGAGGTCCTTTGCGAACTTTTGGAGGGCGAAGTCGCGGGCCTGCTTGACCTCGCGCTGTGTGCGGTCCTGGAGGTTGCGGAAGTCGGCGATGGTGCGCAGGCACTTGTCCTGTTGAGCGTTGCTGTGTTAGCCACCTTTTTCTCGGAGAGCCGACATCGGTAGGAGGGGTTAATTGCGCATCGACGAACCTTCCAGTCAGCGGCCTCCTTCTCCTTGGCCTCGAGCTGCTTCTTCAACGGTGACTCGGCGTCCTCAGCCTTCTCACTCTCCTTGGGCGCCTCGGTCTCCTTGGTCTCCTTCTCCTTGGCGTCGCTGTACCATCTTGCGACGGCAGGCTGAGCGGCCCGTATCCTGAAAGCCGGGGAAGTCTGGAACTGGTTTTGGAAGACAGACTTGGGAGTCTGGGTGCGCATGCCGGAGCGCACAGCGCGGGAAGAGGTGGCGATAGCTTGTCTGAACATTTTGGCGTTTGTGGTTGTTGGAATTGGGGGGCGCAGGAGGTGGAAGGTTTAGAGGGGAGGGTCGGGAGGCGATGCAGGGACTGTCGCGTGTGCTGAGGAGCTTTTAAGAGGGAATGAAATTTTATCGAAATGGCCCTCAGTGACGGATGGACTGCCGTTAGCCCACGGCCACTCGGGAAACTTTTGCGCCCAATCAAGTCCGGGGATGGAGCTCCATCTCGGGGCGGATGAACGGAGGGCCCGGCGGCGAGCTTTATCGATAAGAGTAATGCTAAGGCAAGGCCAGTGTGGTTTAGCACGCCAGGCACGACGCTGCACGGTTGCTGGACCTTCCAATTGGGAGAGCGCGACTTCACCTCGCCTCCTGTCGCAAAAATATCCTTTCAGCCTTCCCCTACTGCCTAGCTATCGCCAACTCATCCTCGTACAACCCACCCACGTCGATACTCGGTCACAAAGGCGGCTTTATCAGAAACCCGCGCACTCGATCTCGGTGCTACTACTTGCTCTTGCGACGTTTCTCAGCCCTCCACAACTTGCAAACTAGACCTCGATTTGGCGGAGTAGGCGCGATGGAGTACGAACCGATGCTGTTGGACGGCGAATCCGGGGGGCCTCAGATCAAGATTTCGGGGGTAAATCACACCGCTTCATCGATGGAATGAAGGCCGTGGTGCTAACTTTCCATCTGTCTGGTTAGGCCGATAACATCCACGTCAACTTTGACCTTTCGAACTGCGATCTCTCTTTTGCCAACTCGCTGCGGCGCGTGATTCAGGCCGAGGTCCCGACAATCGCCATCGACCTGGTCGAAATCGAAGCCAATACCTCTGTTCTTGCCGACGAGTTCATTGCCCACCGTCTGGGTCTCATTCCCCTGCATTCGAAGGATGTCAACAGCTTATTGTACTCCCGTGATTGCGACTGCGAGCAGTACTGCGACAACTGCAGTGTCAAGCTTACCCTGCACGCACGCTGCTCCTCCGACGAGACGATGAAGGTTTATGCGAGCGACCTGATTGTCGATAGTTTCAGACAAAATGGCACCGTAGGAAACCCGGTCATCATGGATCCGGAAGGTCAGGGCTCTCTGATCGCAAAGTTGCGCAAGGGTCAGGAGCTCAAGTTGTCGTGCATCGCAAAGAAGGGAATCGCCAAGGAGCACGCGAAATGGATGCCTACGGCTGCTGTCGGCTTTGAATACGACCCTCATAACAAGCTGCATCACTTGGACATGTGGTATGAGGAGGATGCGAAGGCGGAGTGGTAAGTCTCTCAAGGTTGGCAACGCGCAGTATGTTATGGCTAAACATGTTTCTCTAGGCCTGAGAGCAAGTACGCGAAGATGGAGGACCCTCCTCAAGAGGGAGAAGCGTTCGACTACGACGCAGTACCTGAAAAGTTCTACTTCGAGGTCGAGGGCGTTGGAAGTCTAGAGCCCGACCAGATCATCCAGGAGGGAATCAAGATCATCCAGGAGAAGATGGCATTGTTGCTGCACATGCTCACCGGCGAGGCTGATGACGATGGTATGGGCGACTTTGACGGCCCACGTAGCCCCAACCTGGACATGGACGGCGGCAACCCCTGGGGGCAGGACCAAGGTTACACCACCCCATTCAACGGTGGCGCTCAGGGCTCATGGGGTGGGAGCGCGACGACTCCGTACGCTACCACCACACCCTACGGTGCTTCTGGCCAATCTGGCTGGAACTGAGCATGATGATCCACACAATAAAGGCGTTAATGATCTCTTGAAGATGGGCGGCAATGGAGTTTTGCGAGTTTTGAGGACAGCCAGCATCAGCATGGACTGGCCTATTCACATAAAAAGACATTTGGGGTTCGCTGTATGAGTATGAGACTGGGCCAGCACCCTCGCGACGGGAGCATCTCAGGGGTAAGAGGGGAGACGGTTTTGATTCTTTGCCAATGTGGCTTTCCTGGCATATAGACTTGGCTCTCATACTGGCCTGGACGTCCGCGAGGGACGACGTCGAAAACTGAAAAGGCGATGCAAGAAAAAACGATACGAAAGGTGAGGGTGAAGGGGCCGAAAAATACGAGTAATCTGAAGACTCCAGCCCTCCAAGGCACCTCTAATACAACTCACAAAACAGCCCAAATATGTGTCTTTTTGAAGCGAAAACCAGCATCCAACTCTTTTGTGTATCCCCAAGACTCCTGTCAAAAATGCAACAGATGACCTCTTTCCAACGCCCCCTCATTACATATGCAGTGTCTAAAACGCTGAAGTCTAATGCTACTTTACTCCCTAGATGGCTTCCTCGCCGCCAACGTCGGTCACCGCTCTATAGACCTTGCGGTGCATTTCTAGGAAGACGAATGTACAGATAGTTTGGCTGTTAGATGGTTAGTCGATTGTTAGTGTTTGATGAGAGGAGTCAGGAAACTCACGGTCCAAGCCTCAAGAAACTAGGTACCCAGCCCTTAAACATCCACCCTAAACCCTCTGCCTTGTAAATCTTGGCCAGGGTGTGCGCCAGCCCCTCCTGCGTGGTCGCGGACATGACGCGGGTCTTGATGACGTCGATCGGGCTGGTGACCGTCGCGGCCATGACGCCCGCGAGGAAGCTCGCCGTGAAGTGCGTGGTGAGGTTGTCGCCCATGGGCGTGTGCCTGATGAGCATGCCCTTGAAGGTGTCGTAGGACGCGAGCTGGGAGGCCGTCATGGCGGCAGCGCGCATGCTGTTGGGCAGCACGCCGCGGAACCAGCTCATGATGCCCTCCTCGCGCGCCATGCGCAGCATGCCCTCGAGGGCGTGGTTGTAGTTGCGGCGCTCGGCGGCGGGCAGGGCGGCGTCCTGCTGCATGCGCACGTTGAGCACGTCGGCGGCGTTGCCCGAGATGCCGCCGACGAAGCCCGAGGCGGAGGCCATGGCGACGAGGACGGGGAAGGCCGGGGCCTTGCCGTTGTTCTTGCGGGTCGCGCGGACCTTCATCTCCTCGTAGGCGCCGAAGCGGACGGTGGAGTAGGTCATCTGGCGGAGGAGGGAGGCGGAGAGGCCGTTGTAGAGGCCGGTGATGCCATGGTTGCGGACGATGTGGGCGAAGGTGCCGACCATGTTCTTTGGCGCGTCGGGACGGCGGACTTGCAGGCGGACCTGTGCATTGTTTGGTTAGTATGAATGATTCGTTCGAGATTGCATGCTCGTCACGGCAATTGGGGTGTTTGTGATTGTGTGCTGGTGGTGTTGTTCGGGCGCATGCGTACCTTGACTGAGACATGGTCAGCATCCTGTAAACTCCGGCATTGCGATGTCGCAGGTGCTTATCATGCACACACTTGCTCGATCACAAGCACGGGGGAAGAAGACTCACCCAAATCCAGGGGATGTGTTACGCAGGCGGCCATACTACTGGCGCTGCCTCCGAACCAAAAGGGGTATCGCATGGAGCTATCCGCCTTCTTCTTGGGTGTCGTCGTCTGCTTCTGCTGCGGCTTCTCCTGGCTATCAACTTGCACCGCCTTCACCGGCGACGATGAGGATGACACCTCGTCGGCGGGCTTGCTGGAGGCGGCGGCAGGAACCATGTTGGCGGTGGACTGCATCGTTGCAGCTATGCGATCTTGACCAAAAGGCTCATCCCGCTGCGGCGCAAAGTGAACTTGCGTCGCGGAGAACCAGAAACCTTTATCTGAATTTGCCCAATTGATAACCGGAAAGGTTGTCTTCCTGGTGACCTATGTAGCAAGGTCAAGGTTTCTGTTTGTCGCCGATTCTAGGGTAGAACGTCACTTTCGGGGAGGGTTGCGGTGACGTCTAGCGCTCGAAAAAGCCGACTTCGGGGTTGGCGTTTGGAGAAGTTGGAGGTGGTGAGGTGGTGCGTGGGTGGAAGAAGCCGAATGGTTCGTTCGGCTCGGTGTATCACGAACTTTTTTTCCTCCCCTCCCCTTGGGCCTGATTAGCAAAAAACAACCCCCCAATCCTCCCAGCTCTCGGCTGTTATCGGCGCTGGACGAGCAGAAAGCTGCTGCGTCATGGGCGCTAATCAGCAGGGGTGCCATGCGCTACAGCGCCTCCAGGACCCCGGGTCGGCAGCCCGCCCGTCGCCGGAAAGACAAGACGGCGTCTGGTCCGTGCGTCCCGTCAGTTTTCTTGCGATCGACGGGGACGACCGATTTGCTTGGTCCTCCAGCTCCATTCTCGGCGAAGGAGACCAATTGTCGAGTCACCGCTACAGTTCCGGACACCTTCGAGGTGCCCGTAATGAACACTTAATTCCCGACAAAGCCTTTGCGTCGTATCAAGGGCAATCCAAAACATGCTCATCCCAAGGCTAGCAGGGAGGCAATTGCGCAGCTGCTTCCGTGGCGCCATCTGTCCCGGTGCTGCCCCTCGACAATGGACAAGCCCCGCGCTGCTGCTGTCGAGCAGTAGCCGGCGCGCCTATTCTTCAGGTCAGACCAAGATCTACTCCGCCGTGGGCCATCTCAATTGCTGAGCGAAGCGCAGCAGCAGCAGACCAGAAGAAGAAGACGATCGAGGTCAACGGCCAGACCATCACGACCGACGAGTGGTTCAACGTGCCCAAGACCGTCCTCGACGCGGCGTCGCGCAAGCTTCACCTGCAAAAGGACCACCCCGTCTACATCACCCGGCAGATCATCGAGTCGCAGTTCCCCGCGCCGACGTACAAGTACCACAACACCTTCGACCCCGTCGTCTCGACGCACCAGAACTTCGACTCGCTGGGCTTCCCGCTGGACCACCCCGGCCGCGCCAAGTCGGACACCTACTACTTCAACAAGGAGACGCTGCTGCGGACGCACACGAGCGCGCACCAGGCGCAGACGTTCAAGAAGAACCTGAGCGAGGGGTACCTCATCAGCGCGGACGTCTACCGCCGCGATGCCATCGACAGGAGTCATTACCCCGTCTTCCACCAGATGGAGGGCGCGCGCATGTGGGACCGGACCAAGGTACCCAACGGCGACATCGCGGCCGCCGTGTGGGAGGACGTGAACAAGCTGCCCAAGCATGGCGTCAAGGTCGAGGACCCTCATCCCGCCTTCGACGCCGAGCGGAACCCGCTGCAGGAGGGCCATCACTCGGCCGCCGAGGCGGAGGCCATCGGCGCTCACCTGAGGCGCTCTCTTGAGCTCATGGTCGTTGAGATCTTCACGCGGGCCAAGGCGGCCGCCGAGAAGGCGGACCCGGACTACAAGGACGAGCCGCTGCGGGTTCGCTGGGTGGAGGCGTACTTCCCCTTCACGAGCCCGTCCTGGGAACTCGAAGTTTACTACGCTGGGGACTGGCTCGAGGTGCTGGGCTGCGGTGTGGTGAAGCAGGACATCTGCATCAACGCGGGAGTGCCCACCCAGCTGGGCTGGGCTTTCGGCATCGGCCTGGAACGTATTGCCATGCTCCTCTTCCAGATCCCCGACATCCGCCTCTTCTGGTCGCAGGATGAGAGATTCCTCGGCCAGTTCAGGGGCGTATCAGACAAGCTCGACACCATGAAGCGCTTCGTGCCCTTCTCCAAGCACCCGGCCTGCCACAAGGACGTCTCATTTTGGCTGCGCGGAGTGTCAGCAGCGGGCGGGAACACCAAGGCCAGCGCGCAGGACTTCCACGAGAACGACATCATGGAGCTGGTCCGGGATATCGCCGGTGAGCGGGTCGAGGACGTCCGGCTTGTGGACGAGTTCACACATCCCAAGACGGGGAGACGCAGCATGTGCTACCGCATCAACTACCGAAGCCTGGAGCGCACCCTGACCAACGAAGAGGCCAACGAGCTGCACAACGAGGTGACACGGAAATTGGTCGAAAAGCTAGGTGTCGAGATCCGGTGAGGCATAATTTGCGCTTGCACATCGAGCGTTGAGGGGTAAGGGGGCTGTGTAGCCAACACTCGAGCGGTCTGCAGAGACGGGACGACCCTATTGGAGTGAGTCCCTGCGAAACGGGGTCGGGATCCCTTAGCATGCCGTTGTCAGTCGTGGCTACTTCTCACTTGGGATGTCGTGAGGGAAAATTGCTGCCAAGGCAACGGCATGACTTTGCCCGCCCTGCTTGAGTAGCTGATTTTCTCAAATCGCGAGTATATCACGCCGTGTATGATAGAATAACTTGTACTATAAGACCGCACTCGGTATTCCCAGCTGGCTGAGCGGCCTTGCGCTGTGGACTAGAGTTCACGGGGCAATCTCGGGAATTTGATAGACCCCATGGACCCGTCCACTCACAGATCTCTGTCCCTTCGATTTTGTTCATTTGATGTTCGTTCTCGGGAAACGATGTCACAGAGCGAGACTTCAGTGCTGCGCAGTGCCGGGCCGTACAAGCCCTGCGACGGCAAGAAACATTTTGACACGGCATAGCGCCAGGCGCCTTGGCGGGCGATTCGGAAAGGCGGATCTGCCCTGCGGTCGCCCTTGTATGATTCTGCCGAGATTCTCGAACGGTGAGATCATGCTCGGATGGGAACAGAGTCAATCGCCGGGTCGCAATCTGAAGCAGTGACGCCGTGGTTGCAGATCGATTGTATCATCCATAAACCTACAATGCCCGGGCGGTGCGTTGCTGCAGTAGCGTTCGGAGGGAAAGGCAGAATTTTGGCCCGTCGTCTGAATAAGTTGGGACGGTCGTGCAAGTCAGTTTCATGCCTCCCGTGATAGGGCGGAGTTCAGTCTGTTGCTCGCAACGTATGAAAAGTCTGGATTCTGGACAACATTGCCAGGCTCAGCCACGCTCCCATGTCTAACAGCCGGCGTGTTTTCGCTTCGGGTCGGATGTCAATGTTGGCAGGTTGCTGCTGGTTTCCTGAAGCGGGTTCCTGACGATGTGTTCAAACGGGAATGAGATGAGCTTTGCCATGCCTCAGGTCCGAATTTGCTATGGAAAGTTTATTAGCCGGTCGTCTTTCTGGGCAGGCAGTTTCCCTCGTGGCAAGGAAGGCCCCGCGATGCGTGGAGATAAGCTGCCAGGCGCATCGAGGGTGGAGTGTCTGAGAGTCTGAAGTTGAGAAAACGGCACAGTAGCAAACGGTTCATGGAGAACCGTGCCCCGAGCCTAATGCTCAGGATTGCGGGACGACACTCCACAGTCAAAGGACATGAAGATGGAATTTCACAGGAAAAGGCGCTTCGGCGTTGGAGGTTGGTGAGTCTGGAGACACGGGAGAGATATGCGAGTGGATCGATAATTGATTGTCGCGCATGCGGGTTCAATGGCGAGACTCCTCTAGTTACCCGACTCGGCAACTGGTCCCTGATGGTGCAAAGCGCAAGTCAGAAGGACATTGGAGTGCAGCAGCGGGTGCGGAGCGCAGGAAAGGAAAGTCTTGGCCTAGAAGGGTGTCTGGGGAAGCCGATTGCAGAGCGAAACATCAATCTGGCAGGTCGAAAGTCTTGGTATTCTGCACAGCCTCGTTTCCAGATCGCGAGGGAGCTGACCACCAACAGTTGCCCGTAAGCTGCGTCGGGCGGGCGCCGGGCGGGCGGGGGAGAGGGAATTCTGTGTAGCACCGGATCATTTGAGTTGAGACATCGAATGTCTGCATCGCATCGTGACGAGAGGAGAGGCATTTTTGCTGCGACAGATGGCTTGGCTGTGTCGAGGGCGCTATTGACAGCAAATTTCCTTCTCATCCGTATGCTGCGGAGACCAATCGTGGCTGACGGATGCTCGGGATCAGACGAGACGAACGAGCGTGCGCTGTGGTGTCTGTCCGGCGGCGTTGGAGGGGGCTGAGGTTCAGTGCAATTTGCCCCGTGTTGGCTGAGCGGAAGGCTCTTTGTAGGGCAACTCGTACGCTGCCGGGCTGAGCCGGTGTGGGAAGATTAACAACTGGTGGGCTTTTCCGGCCGGATTTGCAATATCGATCGCGAAGGAAGGCGAGGAGCCTCGTTCCAGCTGACCTTTGAGTCATGGTTTCCATAGCATGAAGACGTAATTGCTGCGGCTGTCGAGAGGAGTTTCCATCATCAATTCTGAACCAGCCCCAGAGCGACGTGTGATGCCGTGGCGAGTTGTCGAGCCAAGACTAGCAAGACAGCCTCAGCCATCAAAAGCATCGTGTCCTAAGGGTTGAGGTCTCTTTCAGAAACGACAACTGTGAGAGGGCCTTGGCGAGGTAGCCGTCGTGGTGGTCCAAGGAGGCGGCGCCTCAAACTCAACTCTATGCCGCAATATCCAGGCCTCGTAGGTACAGTGGTCAAGTGCTTCAGCGTGGTGAGGGCGATGGCAGACGGGAGGTGTCGTGTGAACACAACAACCTATCGTTACACAGCCCCCGGTCCCTCTTTGGCGCGGCGGCTTAACTGTTGACGATGTGGGGGAGCTCGGTTGAACCCTTGGGTGTTCGAATCTTTACCCCGATAGCGTGAGAGCGGGGAGATGTGTTGTCGAGTTGATAGCTGGCAAATGACAAGTGAGATAATACTTCTGATGGTAACGTTGATAGTCGGAATATGCCCGAGTCCCGACTGGGCAAGTGTGTTCCATTGATCGCTGCAGCCATGTGCAGGTAGATAGGCGGCTGCATATCGAAGGGTCGTAACAGAGGGTTACGAGAGACCCAAATCATCGGAAAGCGGCAGGCGTG